ACTTGATCATTTGACAACCCGTTATTCATCGGTTTGCTCGAGCAGGCACCAGTAACGTCTTCATTCGTCCCTGTGGCATGCTAGCGTAGCCCAATGGCGTCTTTTCATTCTAGGAATATGAAGAGCCTCAAACCAATCCTTCAGGGTCTTGACGAAGAAGTCTGACCATCTTGTAGGTGGGCGGCCAAGCAGTCTTTTGACATCCCATAGAATCCAGTCGGTAACTGCTCTTTTTCCAACGGTCGTCTCCAAATCTCATTACGTGTCCAGCCCATCTGATTTTTGATGGCAAACAAGACAGGGTCCCTGATTCTTGACTGTCGACGGAGGTTGGAACTCTGGATTCTTTCTCTCATTTGAGTGAAATGTGATACTCCAAGCATAGCTCTTTTGATTCCTCTTTGGGAGACCCGAATAGCAGTCTCATCCTGTTTTCATAGGGCCCAGGCCTCTGAGGTGTATGTTACTGCAGGAAGAACAGTGGAATCAAAGAGATGTGCCTGGAGCCGGAGGTTCTTCGTTCGTTCATCCTCTTAGCTATTTCATGCATATATATATATATACACACACACACACACACATATATATATGTGTGTATAGCCTTGCACGCGGCTGGCCCAGGTTCGATTCCTCCGTCCTTCTAGGGGAGCGGGCAAGCTATTGAGAGTGTCCTGCCCGCATGGCAGAGCCTGGCAATCTCACACTGGTGAATTCGATAAGCCAAAAACAGTAACAAGTCTCACAATGGAGATGTTACTCGTGCCAGCTGTGGCAAATAGATGAACAAAGGGAGGACAGTGCTACAGTGCTACATATATAACTTTGTTTTGAGATATGCTTGGGTTCAATCCCCACAAGTGAAAAATAAATAAATAAATAAAATGCCAGGAATGGGTTCGAGAGATAGCTCAAAGGACTACAATGCCTGTGAGAAAGCCTGCGACTTGATCCCTGACACTTACTGCATAGTCCCCTGAGCACTGCCAGTAAAGATCCTGGAGCTGGGATAAGCCCCGACACACTTCACTCCCCCTCAAAAACAGTAACAATGTTTCCTTCTCATTTATTCACTAAAAGTTTGAAGTGAATGCAACAGGGAAAGGAGGACTTCAGGTCTTTTTGGGACTGTCCACCTCTGACTCCGAGCTCAGTGTTCCTCAACAGTCAGGAAATCACTTTCATCTTAGGAGAACTCAGTTGTCTAATGGATAGAATTTGAGAACTGCCTTGTTTACTTTCTGAGGTTAGTTCTGTGACTGTAGAAATACTGCAGCTAATGTGGAAGGTCACTGACAAAATCATTTTACTATCTCTTATTTACTCATGGCATCATATTAAATGGCATTTGAACCATGCAAAATCACTTCAAGTTCTGTTCCTTAATGATTCTGTATTTTATATTTGAAAAGTTGCTAAGAAAGTAGAAGTTAACTGCTACTTACACACACACACACACACACAAATTATGTGGGATCGAGGTGTTAATCCTATTGTGGGAATCATTTCACATTATACAGGTGTATTAAATTTTCATGCCATAACCTTAAACTGATACAATGTTAGATAGCAATTATATCTTAATATAGCTGGGGAAAAGTACCCTTAAAATATTTTTAATTGAATCACTGTGAGATACATTTACAAAGCTTTCATGTTTGAGATTCAGCCATACAAAGATTGAACACCCATTTCTCCATCAGTGCAAATTTTCCCACCACCAATGTCCCCATTATCCTCCCCTCCCCCAGCCCAGTCCTCACCGTGCCTCTATGGCAGACAATTTCCCTGATACTCTCTACTTTTGGACATTGTATTTTCTCAAATTTTCCCACTACCATTCAAGCCTGCCTACCAGGGGTAGACACTAGATCATTTATTTTCCATTGCTCATCTGTATATCATGAGAGGTTGTATGGCCACAAAAGTGGCCACACGCTTCTGGAATTTTAGGATTGTAAACGTTTTGGTTTCAGAGACATCTCTGTAGGGAGCTAATCCATTTTGGGATTCAACTGGCAGCTTCTGGACCCAGGCTGTTGGTGCACTAAGATGGCATCCAGATTTGGGTTGTGGGCGTGACATCCGGCCTCAAGAGTGAATGGGAAGCCAGGGTAGGATGACATGACTCTCCTTAAAAAAATACTTTAAGGAGCTTGAGAGTTAGTATAGCAGGTGGGGCACTTGCCTTGCATGTGGGCTACCTGGGTTTGATCCCCAGCATCCCATATGTTTCCCTGAGCACGACCAAAAATAATTCCTTACTGAGAGCCAGGAGTAACCCCTGAGTATCACTAGATGTGACCCAAAAATAAAATTAAAAAGACTAAAAAGAAAAAAAGAAAACATCTAAAAAACCTATAAGTCCTGGTACCAGGGAGATAGCTTGAGGGAGCAGTGCATATGCTTTACCTGTGTAATCCTATGGTCCTCTGAGCATCACCTGTTAAAACACCTGAGTGAAGGGCCCCTGAATATGACTGGATATGGCCTAAAAACAAAACCAAAGAGAAACTACACATCTCCTCATTACTATTTGAAAATAGCACAGGGATTTTTTCTGAAGGGGGATTTGTTTGGGGTTCAACGTGCAGTGCTTAGAAGTCACTTCCAGCAGTGCTCAGAGGCCCAGCACTGGGTCTGGAAACAGCTGAGTGCATGCAAGGCAGGAATCTTAGTTTTTGTGTTAGCTTTCTAATTATACTTTTATTGGGGGAGAGGGTTTGAGCCACACTCCCAGGAGAGCTCAAAAGCTACTCTCAGTTTTGTGCTTGGGAGTTTCTCCTGGTGTGGTGTTCGGGGGACCATATGGTGCCATTGATGGAACACAGGCCTCTTGTGTGCAACGCATGTGCTCAACCCCAGTGTGTTACCTCTCAGGCCCCACGTAGATTTTTTCCAAGTTGTGTCTCTGGTGGCTCCTATTAGCGATAATCCTTTACAAAAAGCCTCTCCTAATACAGTCCCTGAGGTATTAGGAGCTCCCCTTCCTAGAAATTCGTTCAGCATGCATCATGACCAAATTCAATTTTTAAGCATTCTTAGTGATTGCCTTGCATTATTAACATTCAGTTAAACATAAGAGCAGTTATGGAGCAAATCAAGTACTATGGAAGCACTGAGGTGGATGGACTCATTTCAGCAAAGAGGTCTGTGAGAGTGAGAGGGAGGAGATGACATTCGAGAACAATTGTTTCAAGGTGGGGACGGATGGAAGGGGTGGATGTGGAGTGAGGCTGGGAAGCAGTAATCAGGGATGACTCCAATTTCAAGCGTTCCAAGCTAAGGTCAAAGACATTTTGTTAAACAAATGGGCTTCTAGCTGGGGTAGCTGAGTGATATGAATTTCATTTCCAGTGTAATAGAAAAATAAGCAACATGTGGGGAGAAGCCGTTGAACTTTGCTTGAGGTGCCTGTGAATTATTGATGTAGAGATTATTTCGTTGCACAGCAGTTCACTGAAGCACTTCTCTGAGGTCAAAGGAGACTTTTAGCGGTCACCTGCATTTTACGGCGTGTGTGTGTCTGTGTGTGTATGTGTGTGTGTGTGTGTGTGTGTGTGTGTGTGTGTGTGTGGTGCTGAATGGAGAGGGCTTCTCATTTCTCCTGTCTCCAGCTGATTTCCATTTGAACCAAGTGAAGGAGGCAGCGCAGAAGTTTATGATCAGGCCCAGAGTCATCTTTGTCACTTATTAACACAAAGAACCAGAAGCTTAGAGGTTAACTGATTTACTCAAATAAGTGTAAGAAAGAGACAATCCTGTGACTTCTCATTACACGTTTAGACGGATGCTGGCCAAGCAGGTATCAGCTGGAGGGTGTGTGTGGGGGGGGGGCGGGGGAGTATGAAGCAGAGATGGGACTCAGGCTTAAGTGCTTTCTGGTTCCAACCTTGGACCGCAGTCCCCTGAACACAGGGTTAGAAAAATATCCAAATATCCAAAGTGGGCCTCCCCGCATCTCCTCCTGAAATGTGAAGAACTAGATGAGGTCCGAGCAAAGAAAACAAAGGAACAAACGAAGGTGACCCTAAGGATGCCTACTCCAGTCCGCATGAAACTTGAGCTCCTGGGGGGGGTCTCTTAACCCCTTAGACAGCCAACGCGCTTGGTAAGAGGGCTGGCAGGGTAGGTACAAAGGACAGACTGATAATTACTGGGGGGACGTTACAGGGACAGACGGAAGACACACGTGGAAGGGAAGCTTCCTGTAGTGCTCAGGTCCTCTCAGACTGAGCTTAGGAGTACGTGGGTAAAACTGCTGAACGGGTCTCCGTGGGAGAAGGTGAGTGGACGTTCTTGCAGGGAAGGCAACAACATCGCTGAGGGTTTGAAGGGGAAGGAAGGTGCTGTCCGGGGCAGGATGCTCCAGGCTAAAGCAGAAGTTCCAAGACGAGGATTCCAGGGCTGTGGGTGAGGAGGGGCGGGGATGCGGGCGGCGGTGGGTGACAGCCTGTGAAGGTGGGTCACCTCTTCCGCGTGCGGGCAGGCCCGAGGCTCAACGGGAGTAAGAAAAATCCATTTCAGGACGCGGCCAGTGAAGCGCCCCGCGTCCTGTCCCCGCGAGCTGCAGCCGGGGACGCGCAGGTCTGCACGCCGCGCCGCGCCTCTCCTCAGCTCGATAAGCGGCGCTTCTCAGCACCGCCTTCCTCCGCCCGATCGTCGCGTTTCTGGGCGCCTCCGCTCAGGTCTCCCCGCGACCCCCATCCCGGGCTCTCGTTTCGGAGAGGAGTAGCAGGGGGGGTGCCCGGCACGATGGAGTCCCGGAGCTCCCCGCGGCGCACGCCGGGGGCGGGAGGGGGGTCGGCCGGAGCGCGGCGCAACCCGGGCAGCACCCGGGACACCGGGGCGCAGCTTAACGGTCCCGCGACCGCGCCCCGCGCCCCGCCTGCCGCGCCGCAGCTGCTGCCCGCCCGCCCCCCCTGCGTCATGACGCCGGCGCCCAACGCGGAAGCCGCCCGGGCGCGCCTGGTCCAGCCGCGGGCTGAGCGCCGAGCGGCGGCGGCGGGATCCGGGCCCGGCTCGAGCCGAGCGCAGCGTCCCTCCCCGCGGGCTGCGCGGGCGCGGCGGGCGGAGCCAGGCGGAGCGCACGGGCGGCCGGAGCGGGGCACGGCGCGCCGGGGCTGCCGCCAGGGGGATGCGGCTGCCTCCCCGGGCCGGCGTGTAGAGGGCGGGTCCCCGGCCTCGGGAACGCGGCGGTGGAGGGGGACAGAGGCGGCAGTCATGGCGACCCCCGGCAACCTGGGGTCCTCCGTCCTCGCGAGCAAGACCAAGACTAAGAAGAAGCACTTCGTGGCGCAGAAAGTGAAGCTCTTTCGGGCCAGCGATCCGCTGCTCAGCGTCCTGATGTGGGGAGTAAACCACTCGGTAAGGGCTCGGGCTGCGGCGCGCGGTCCTTTTCTTCTTCCTCCTCTTCCTCCTCCACCTTCTGCTGCTCTGCTGCTGCTGCAGCTGCTGCAGCTGCGGGCCGGGCAGTCTGAGCGGGGCCCCGGCCCTGGGCTGCACGTCCTCTGGGGCTGCCAGTTCCCCGGCCGCGAGCGTCTTGGTGCCCCCTGCCCGGTGGCGCGCGCGCACCCCTCGGGGCCACCCGGGGGCCACCTAGACCGACTCTGGAGCTAGGGCCGAGTGCAAGATGCCGGAGTTCCGTTTGCATCTGAACCCCGGGACCGATGCACCCCCCCCCTCCCCAGTTCAGTCCGGCGGGCTCCCGGGAAGTTTGTGCGGGGCACGGCTGCGGCTCGGGCGTCAGCCACGGCGGGGGCTGCTGGGCTAGTAGTCGCAGGGATCGCTGCCTTCTTGCATGGACTGTTGGGGTAGCGGGGGATGGGGGGACAGGTGTACCTGTCCGCGACTGGCAGCGTCCGGAGCATCCCGGACCTCTCCGCGGATACACTACGGGCGATCGCGGAGAGCTGAGCTGCGGCTGACATGCTCGGTGCTCCCCCTCCGCCCCCCTCTCCTTTAAAGGCGACATTAGTGGACCCCAAGGAATCCTTTGGGCAAAGATAACGCCGGTAAACATCGCGTGGGCCTTTGGCATGGTGCCCCGCACCCTCTCCCGCAGCGCCGGGGCCGCTGTGCGGGGCTGGAGAGGCGCGCCGCGGGGCGTCTTTTCGCACCCCTCCTCCCCCACCTTGGGGAGCCAGGCCCGAGTCCAGCTGCGGAAGGGCGGCCGGCGGGGTGACGGCAGGATGCGGGGGTCTCAGCGGGCGGGTCCGGGACGCTGGGGCTCGGGGAAAGCCTGGAAAGGTGAGCACCGCAGGCTCCCGCCTGCAGAACGCGCTCTGCGGGCTCTGCGGACTGCGGTGGGAGGGTCTGGAAACCGCCCGTGGCCGGGCCCCCGGGCCCCAGGCGAGGAACTCTTTTCCTCATCGCTGTGTGTGTGTGTGTGTGTGTGTGTGTGTGTGTGTGTTGGGGGGGATGGGGGAGGGGGTGTGTGGAACGCGCTAGGAACTGCTGGCCAAGCCCTGAAAGTTGCAGGATCCTGGGGAGCACGAGCGTGACCTTATCCACTGCAGTCTGGCAGCATCCGCGGGAGAGGGAAGCTGCCTCCTGGACTTGGGGTATCGACCGCGTCCCTGGGCCTTTTTGCCAGCGTGAACGAAATGACCGATGGAACCTTGGGAGGTGTTTAGAGAACACTCAATTTGATGAAGTTGTTTAAAATGACACCATCCCCCTCCAACCCCCCCTCAAGCAGCGCGTTTGGTCTTTGGCTTTTTCCTTCTTAAGTTTTTGAGCTGGGGAGAAAGAGTCAGCCGGAATCTGGAATCTGGACGCATTGTGTTTCGTTGAAGTGAGTGTTTCTAAAGGAGGTTGGAGGAAAATGACTTTCTCTTCTCTTCTCTTCTCTTCTCTTCTCTTCTCTTCTCTTCTCTTCTCTTCTCTTCTCTTCTCTTCTCTTCTCTTCTCTTCTCTTCTCCTCTCCTCTCCTCTCCTCTCCTCTCTTCTCCTCTCTTCTCCTCTCTTCTCCTCTCTTCTCCTCTCTTCTCCTCTCCTCTTCATACCTGGTCTCACTGAAGTGCATTTGAACTTCCTTTCAACTTCTTTAGCAATTTAGGGATGTCACTTCTGACAAATGCACACATCACAGCAGCCAACTCTTCCTAAGTTTTATTGCAGTAAGAAAAATACAATTTTTTCCTTTGTGATAAGCCTACAGTTTATGTAATTCTTTTAACCTTTTCTTTTCCTCTTCTAATTAATGTTAATTGCTTTTTTTAAAAATTCTATTTGTGCTTTCTTCTCCTTTGGAGTTCTGGAGTTTCCAGGAGTTTGTGCCTGAGGGTTTAATCGGGTAAAGTAGTGTCAACAATAAACCCCTGGAAAAGTGAGCTGACTGGGAATGAGTCAGAATTCCAGCTTACTTTAGCAACTCATGTAATTATGCATGTTTTACTGTAACCACTTAATGTTGCTACCTTTTATTTGTGAATTGCTACATTTGCTTGAGAGTTTCTTGCTAATTAGAAATATTTCAACCTACCTAAGACTTATGTAATGATGTTTTATTTGTAAACAGTGAGGTTTTGTGTTACTTTTCCTTTGCTTTCAAGAAAAGCTTGCAATTCTAAATTTAAGTATCCAGAGTAGTCAAGTTTTCATAGTTTGTCACACACCCATCTTTTCACCCAACACATATTTTGCTCAACTGCAAAGGATTGCTTAAACTGCTTCTCATATTTTTGTATAAATACCTTTACATTTTGAGGGCCCCGAGTCATCATAAGTGAGGTGTATCTTGCAGCCTTTTCCAAAATATTAATTTTATTATTTTCTGAAAATTAAAGGAAACATGAGATCCAAACTACAGCCACCAAACTTTAAAATGTGCCAGTTAAGGTGAGGTGGGGGAGGGAACTTGAAAACACTAGTGGAGGGAAGTTGAAACTGGTGGTAAGATTGGTGCTAGAACATTATTTGTCTAAAACACAACTATCAACAACACAAGATTGATGCTAGAACATTATATGTCTAAAACAGAACTATTGTAAGTCATAGTTCTTTAATTAAATAAATATTTTAAATGAAAGGAAATGTATATAAAGATGAAATGTAAGAACTTAGGTGCCATATATTTCTGGTCTATTTCATTTTAAATGACCAAATCTCATATCAGATAAGTGTTTTATATGATCTAGTGTGCACCAAAGTCTATAATATAACATGAGAATAAATATGTCAGCAATATTAGCAAGCAAGCATAGTGTTGTGTGCAAATGGGAACCTTGGAGAAAGTGAGCAAGGACAGAGAACTTTCTACTCTTGCCCCACTTGTCTAATATGATCAGACTTAAGTGGGAAATACTTTCAATATTTATTGCTGTTAAAATTCATTTGTTTTAAGGACAATTAGAAATAACCATACTTTTGGGGTTGATGATTTGGTTCTGTTAGCATCTTCTCAGTGTTTGGAAATCTACATACCGTCGTAAGAACTCTTTGGATCTGTGTGCCAATTCTTTTTCTACTTATGTTGACCTTGGGCATGTTCTTTCCCTAACTTCAAAATTCAAGACTAATTTTACAGACTTTTGGACACGCATGATGCAGGGATGTGCAGATGAGGAATAATTCTAGTTTACAGACTGCCTGCCGTTCAGCGATTCTGCAGCTGTGGTCAAGTAAACTGCTCATCAAAAACTTGTGTTCTGTGCTGGATCTGTGATGGCTGCTTCTGTATAGAACTTGTACACATTCTACTCACTTTCCCACAAACAATAAATATAAGATGCTTGTAACTTGGTATTTCCACTGTACTAGGTGTTATAAGTAACTCAGAGATGACTTAAAGTGTATAGTAAGGTTGTATGGATTATAGGAAAATCCCATGTTTATAATATGCAAAGAATAAAGCATCTGGAGGTTTGCTATTTGCCTCGGTCTTAGATCCAGTCTTCCTTGGATACCCAGAAATACTCTGGGGCAAGAACAACTATATGAAAAAAGTTGCATTATTATTAGCATCTGCCTTTAGTAACATGCCAGAATTTTCAGAATCATAACTAAAAGGAGGGTCTGTAGTAAGGGTGGAGTCTCTGGTGATTGTAAGAGATGTGAGAACTAGAGTTTGCTGGATTGATTTTAGTTGGACTGCAGTGTAGTCTATTAAGTCAAAGTCTATTTGATTGCGATGCAAAAGCATGTAATTAAGGTAGAAATTTTCATGTCCATTATCGTGGTGATTCTCAATGAGGAGCTAAAGCCTGACTTTGTATGGTTTGTTGGTGTTATTTTGTGTTATTGCTTTCTAACTTAAAATACCCATCAGTGTATGGATCACTGCCAATTTGTATTTCAAGTAGTTTAAGCAGGGGATATAATTGAGCACATAAAGGAAAAGATGGTTTCAGAAGGAAATTTGTCTTGTTATATTTGGAATAAGACTAAAAAATGTTCAGGCAGTTAGCTCCTTGGGATTATATTTTAACAGTATGTGAAACAAACCAAATCCACAATCCAAAATTGTCTTACAGTGGTGTTTCAAAAGCTTTTTAGGCAGAGTGCTATGTGACCCTCTTAGAAATTAGTGCTTGAACCATTCACGTGAAGGAAGATATCTGAGTAGGGGGAAAAATGTAAAAGATATGGAACTTGTTGGAGTCAAATAAAGTATTTCCAAGTTGCTAAGTCTTTTGATTGTCGGTCTTAAGAAAGCAACTTTAGGGGATCATTTAACATCTTAGAGAGGTTTGGGACATTCCCCAGGGGAAGCAGTATTGGATAAAGGAACAGCAGGGATGACTGATTGGAGCCCTGTGTCTGGAAGTTGTTGGACTTTCTGTCGCTTTTCGGATTTTTTTCTTGCTTCTTCTTGACTGCTTTCTCTGCGTGGGTCAGAGAATCACTAGTGGCTCCTGGATTGGGCGTATTTTTCTCTTCTAGCTTTTTTCTCACAAAGGGACTCATGTCTCTGATTTCTCTGCATGGGACAGGGCATTCACAAAGGGACTCATGTCTCTGATTCAGTTTTGAAATGGCCCTGAAAGTATTCCTGTTGGTCCAGCTGGGTCAGCAGCAGTATCCCCCATTCTGGACTGGAGCATTATTAAAGGTGGCAGAATTTGGGGAGGGACAGTTAGTTCCCAAAGGAAGGGGGGCTGAGGCTCGGCCAAAGGCCTGGAGTGAACTGCACAGTTGAGCTGGGTGCAGTTCTTGGTGTGTGCACTCCATGTTTGTTAGTTCTACCAGATGATGTGGTTTTTTGGATAGACCATCAATTACTTTTGTTGAATTCTCAGCACAGCCAAAGACTTTTTAACAAGGTAGAATAGCATCTTGAAGAATTAATGCTTCTCAGGGCTGTGGGTTTGTGCTTGTGCACTCAAAAAAGCAAGAGAAGGAAACCAGATGGAAAAATGAAATGA